AATTAATTGTTTGTAACAATAATTATTTATTGCTTGTTTTGATCAAGTGCTGAATAGCTTTTTTTATTTATTATTGTTTTTTTAGGAAGATGTAAGAGCAGTCTACAAAGACAGAGAGGTAGCTGTGAACAAACACTTGGAAGATTTGCAACTTTGGGATTTCGAAAAAAGGTGACTCTATATTGATATGAGGCCGGTGGGTTTTATATTAAATAGTGATGGCTTCAGTATTTGGGTTGATATCACTGTTTTTATGGATACCAATTACAATAAATTATATGTTAACTATTTCAATTTGTGATTATCAGATTTGATTCACAAKAGAACGAAACTGTGAATATAGCAATATCAAGAGGGGTTGCAAATACTGCAAATTATTCGACAGCATTGATAAGAGGTATGGATATTATACTATAATAATTAATGGCATATGTATATAATAAACCTTTTACAAATATCAWGTCAACTGACCTAAAAGTCTCATCAACTTTAGCTCACATGATAATGTATAATAAGTATTTATACATGTAATCTGCAAATTATTAATGCCTACTTTTATCTATTTTATAATCCACAGATGCAATAAGAACTCACTTCAAAACAAGAAGAAGAAGATGGTTATTGAGGAAAGAAAAAAAAGACCAAGATTACCTTAAATCTCAAAGAAAGAGAAGCAGACTCAATACTGTAAGTAATACAAAAGAATTTGGACTATTTTGCTTTGACTTAGAGAAATAATGTAGGGTATTATAAGTGTACCAAACAATGTTGGGCATCAAAACTCAAGTAGACACTAAATGAGTCAAGTTGTTTCTTGCTGACTTTTTACATGCACAGAAACTAATCAAACATACAGTTGAGGGCCAAAATTGTTTAGGGCAAATTGCATGGTATATCTATATATCTCATTACTTTCAGTTTAGCTAATGTTTCACTTTGATTTTTCTAGAAAASACATCAAAGRCTCCAGGCCCTAAACGATTCTAATTCAATTCCTGCTGAGGACAAGGGACGCTTTAAAGCTGTGATAACTAACAACTTTGTTTCTTCTGACGAGTCGATGTCAGAAGCTGAAGACTCCCATCACAGTAGTGATAGTGAGGATGAGGCTCCCCGTGCCCCAAAAAGGGCAAAAACCTTGATCCACAAGAGACTTCCCTGGAGGAGCCAGGAGCTTAATGCTCTGATGAAGCGACTTGACCGACGAATTGCTAAGAAGAGAAGTCAGAGGGGTGCTTCCATGGTAATTCACAGAAGGGAGGGTCCACCCTCTGATAGATTACAACCTATTGATGCCCCAGCTTGGGCTTTAGCTGAAGAAGCATAATTGCTTCTATTTGAAAAAAAATGTTTTAGAACAGTGTATTTAATCCTACAATAGATTTTGTAAATACTTATTGAATTTATCTGATAATGTTCCTGTTTCCAAAAGAGTAATTATTGANCCAGTACTTGTAATGCACATTCTCTTGATGAAGATCAAGACAACCCATACACATCTCCTGTTTCTTCAGACTGGAGGAAAAAATTTGAAAATTTAATTACTGCAAAAGAGCTGAAGTGCTTGGAGGATGGAAAAAAGCTTAATGACCTCATTATTGATGCATCACTTCAGTAAGTCAAAATTTAGTAAAAAGAAATCATGATACTTGATTTTTTTTTCTACTGGATAACATATCATTACATAAATATATGTGGCATGACAAATGTAAAAACTAAAATAAAATGGATGAATATTTTTTTTCACAGATTCCTAATTTCTGAAAGAAGTGAGCTGAGAAATCTTGTACACATCATGTCCACTCATTTTTATAATAGCATCTCCTATAGAGTTAAAAATATTGCAGCCAATGGCCAGCAAGCCATTCTCAAAAGTAAATCTGAAAGGTAGTACATTAAACTGTAGTTTCAAGGTTTTGATGAATTCATTGAATGTAATAACCRTTGAACTTTTCTCAATGCTTTAATATAATGATAACAGGGAAGTTTGGGAATCTGCCAAGGGTTTCACTAGACGTGTTGACTTACAATTAAAGGAGCACATTTTTATTCCTGCTAATGTGGGGTAATTMTTTAATTAAATTATGTCTGTATCACAGCAGTTTTGATTTTGCATCATGTGACCTCTGAAATGTCACTCACTATGTTATTGTTAATAAATCATTATCTAGACATCACTGGATACTTATCATTCTTCAAAATATTGGCAACATTGATTCAAATGAAAGGTAAACAGATAATTTCAATGTCTTGTCAGGAGTTTTGCTTTCTTAAGTTATTATATTATGAGTCTTATAATGGTTTCATTATGACTGCGTATGTGTAATGACACAATGTATGTAGTCAAATGCTGTGAAATACGGTTATATTTTGTTGTTGTTGTTGCCATGTCACTTTATCTAGTCACACCATTACCTAGCACTTATCATAAATACAATTACATGAATATTAACATTTTGGCATATCATAGAATATAAAAGCCAATGCAGCATTTTCATTTCTTTGCTCCTTTCTGCCTAWAGCTCTGCAATTATTGTGATGGATTCACTCAATCAAACAAAAGGTGAAGTAAAACGGGWAAACCGCTTCAGAGAGCAAGCAGTTAGATACATTAAAGGGTGTGTATGAAATTCTGCATCCATTTTACTGACTATTGTTTTTAATTCATATATGTTACTTAATTTAAAAATTTAAAAATTGATCATATTAATGATTTTTTTTTGAATGACAGATTTCTAAAAGAGGAATGGCAACAAAAATATAATGTATCACAAGACTTTTCTACAGTCCCTGTCATTTATCCACTTGTGAGTTGTTCAAACAACATGGTTTTAAATACAATACTATTTATAAATCAAAATTCGAATGACTAAGCAAAATCAATTATTCATGAACTKCATGTAAAATCTAAAATGCAAACAGATAATCAATTAATATTGTCAAATGTCTGCATCCTGATTTAGATACTGTTTTGTATAAACTATTAGGTACCACAACAACCAAAAATGGTATTGACTGCGGAGTRTATGTGTTGCAATTTGCTCTTTCTCTTTTGAAGGTATTTATGCATATCATGCATCAATAACTTAATATTTTCCCATTGACTGAAAAAAACTTTAATATACTGTATTTTATATTTTTTTCTTGTGAGGCCAAAATATTATACTCAGTATATCAAACAATTTTTTTTCATTACAGGAAAATTGTAGGAGTATTAATGCAAAAGAAACATTGCTGGATTGGTTCTGCCACAATGATGTTATTAACTTAAGACACACCTTAATGGCTGTTTTATCTTCATTATAACTAATACTATTAAAAAAAAAAGAAATGGCGCATGTCTATCAGCCAATTTAAACATAGCCCCCCYTAAAAATTGGCATACAGTGTGACGTGTGCTTTCAATAAGTTGTAATATAGTAAAGGTTGATATATATGTATTATTCCAACGATTGTTATAGTAATATTGTATATGAACACTAACAATTATTCAATAATATTACATAAGACCCCCCCCCCCCCCTTCTCCCTCCCCCGAAAACAACTAGACAACTGTAAAATAAACTTGGACGTAAAGTGGTATTTACCTTGCTAAAATGGCCTGATAAATAACACTTGATTTTCTGTCCTCCCACGTATCGTGGAGGTAGAAAATTCAGAGTTCAAAGTAGAAGGTCCTTTGCAGAGATGTGACATAGGCAGTCCACTAGCGTCCGAATAAGTTCACATCCAGTGAGCGGACCATCGAACCGGGAAACTGTCTGTAATAGTTCTTGAATCCTGAATCTTGCATATTATCCGTAAGAAAAGAAGTCCAGATCTTTGAGAATCTTCCAAACGGTCGATTTCACGTTGAATTACATCTCAAAAAGCATGTAAAAGGCTAAAAAGCACTTACAAAAACATTGGAAAGGCATCTCTTACGACGTATCTCCGAGTGACGAGCCGAATATGTTTTCCGAACACATCGCGAAGTCAAGGTCCTTTCGCCCGATGTGAACGAGCGCTAACCCGAAGGCAGACCATATTCATTCACAGCGTGGGTAAAAAGTTGAAGCACTGTTTCTGAGCGATTATTCGTATTTGCTGCTAGGTAAACAGGAAGTCGA